CTATTACACACATTTCTTGGCATGGAGAGCTCGCACAGACAGCGGGACAAGTGGGAGGGTCTGGAGGTTACCGAGAGGATGGATCGGGCAAAGGGGCGGCTTCCAGAGGGGCGCGGGGCAAGGGTGGGACGAGCCCTCACCCACCACTGCTCTTCCCTGGGAAGAAAACCTGGGGTGCGTGTGTCCTTGCCCTCTCTTTGGGAGTAAACGAGGTCGCGCCCGTGAAGAAGAGGCCAGGGAAACGAGTTCGGCCAACAAATGGCGGGGGTTACAGAGACAGCTCTTCTACCTCCGTTCCGCGAGCCCTCATCCCCATCACCCCCCCACCCCAAGCGCAGTTAGCGGCGCGGCCCCTCCCCTGTACCAACAACAAGATTAACCAGCTACTCGCCCGCCCCTTGCGGAGCTCGGCTTGGCGACAGCCGGTTCCAGGCCCAGGAACCAGGCCTCCCACGGCCCGCTGGGGTCCAGGTCTCCGCAGGGCACACCCCCGCGCCCCGGCCCCTGCCGGCCACGTGCTGCGCAGCTTGGCACGCCGCGCCGGCGCAGCGGGGGCCCCAACTGGCACCTCTCTCCGGGCCGCGGAGCTGCCAGGCCCGGCCTCCGCCTCGTGGCAGACGGGAAGCGGCGCCTTCCGCCGCGGCGGTCCCCGGCCCCCGGGCCCCGCGCAGCACCTGCAGGGAAGGAGTCCTTCGGCGCGGAGATCCGTGCGCTCTCCCGGCCGCTTCCCGCGCCCGTCGGAGCACATTCAAACCCGCCCTCCGCCGGGCCCGCCCCCGGCGCGCCCCCGCCCGCGTCCCCGCCCGCGTCCGCTCCCCCCACTCCGCCGCGGCCCCGGCCCCGCCCCGGCCCGCCCCTGCCACTCGCTCGGCAGCTCCGGATGTTTAGGGACCCGCACTCGAGACCCTGCGCCCCCAGGCCGCCTGGCCCATACCTCGCGGTGTTATTTCTGTAGACAGGCCTGCCACAGTAAACCCTGCCCCCTCAAGGAGCACACGGGGCAGGAGGGTACAGCCCCACGCTGGGTCCCCCTAGTCTCCTCCGCGCTGGGGCTACACGAACTCCTCTAGAACTCCTCTCGGTACTCCCCCAGCGCCAAACCTTCTGCTCACACACGCCCGGACGCCCCATGCCCCTGCTCCATCCCAGCCGTTCCGTTATCACTCCCCAAACCCCCTCCCAGCCACTTTCTCCCACACTGCGCCTTTTTCCTTTCCAGCGCCCCCTCCCTTTTCATGTCACTTTCTTCCCTTCAGACCTGTCCTCTGACCCCCGCCCACGCTCTGGGCTCCCTCCGACATAATCAGTATCATCAGTGACCTGCATGGGGGGTTTTCCTACCTTGAACACACACACACACCGCCACACCACCCACCACTTTGACTTGGAGAAGGATGTGTGGTTCTGTGTGTGTGTGGGGGGGAGGGGGGTAGAGGCCCAGCCCTGTAGACCCTTCATGATTCACTCTTTCTAAATCCAGAGCTTCGGAAAAACTGAGGCACAGTTGGGGATGGAAAGAGAAAAAGCCAAGAACAGCCTTACATCCTGAGTGAATCCTATTGTCCTGATACTCAGAGGCAGACACCAAAGTCTTGCTGAGCCCCACATCCTCCACTGGCTGAGGAGGAAGGGAGTGGGCATCCTGAGGAGTGGTCAGTCCTTCTTGTGCTTCCAAGGGAGGTGGAAGGATTCCTTCCTCTTTTGTTGGTCAGTAAATTTGGGGGAAAGGGAATGACTGCCCCTACAGCAGCCCTCAGTGCTGGAGGACAAATTAAAGGCTGAAGAGGGTCTGAGGAGAGAAAATCCGTCCAGCGACCAGCCCCCTCCCGCACCCAGCTAACCAAGAGGCCTGTTTCCTGCAGAAGCCACAGACACTAATTAACAATTAGGAGTACTAACATCATGGGATAAGGCAGAGTCACACCCTCTCCCCAGAGAACAGATTGGGCCCTCAGGGGAGGGGTAGCTTTTCTATTTGGAGTCAGTGGACTCTCCCCAAGCTACTCCAGAAGGGGTGTTCCCAGCCTTCTGGCTCCATGCCCCTCAGAGACATGACACACCATCATCCCCCAGCCTTAACCAAACAGGGCAGGAAGAGGGCTATAGGTGGTATTTTTCTAGGCACTGCCCCATGGCTTAAGGGCAGTGTCATGTGTGGGTCTACCCCGGACCCCCGTTCCCACCCTGTGTTTGTCCAGTCTCTCTCTCTTCCCGCCTCTCCCCTCTTTCTTTGGCTCCTGTCTCTCTCCCCACTTCATTTCCTGTCTCTGGGCCTGTGGGGGTGGCAGGCCTTAGTGGTCAGACAGATCTGCCAGGCATGGCCACGCTGGCGGCCAGTGGCTGCAGTTGTGTGCAAAGGGGGCTGGAAGTGGAAAGAAACTGGAGGGAAGTGGTGAGGGTCCCAGGCCAGACAGGGGAAGGCTGATTCCTGTCCCCACCTCTGCTGAGGCCTGGCCTGCTCACTGGATGGCAACAGCCAGGGCTGTTATTGCTGGAGAGAAGCCCATCTGGCCCTCGCCCTGCCTGGGCCCCAAGCCAGCACCTTCCTCCCCCTCCAGAGCCAGATCCTTGGGCAGAGATGGTTGCTGGGTACCTGGGCCCCCTGCTGGACAGTCTCAGAGCCCCAACTCACACTGGTCTGTGCCCAGAGAATTTCTAGCCAGGCCCAGCCAGTCCTCATCACTTTCTGCCCAGTCTTCTGGCTCCCTCCCTGGGCTCCTTCAGGTCCCTGCCACAGCAGTGGGGTGGGAAGGGCTGCACCCCCACCCCCACCCTATTTGAGACTAACACCTCACACGCAGTCCTGTCTTTCCAGCCCTGTGTGCATCTGTGTTTGCTCAGCTCAGCGGGGGGGATGTGTCACCAGCACATGTCTCATTGACTGTGTACATATGTTCTCTGTTGCCTTTGTGGCAGGGCTGGGACCTGGGAGAGGCCAGTGAGGCACTCGCCTGAGGTGCAAAATCTAAGAGGATGCCAAAAAACTCAGGAATCAAGATAAATGTTTGAATGCAATATTCTTAGAAATCAAAGTTAATGCAAAAAATCTGTGATGAATCCAACATCAACATTTAAAATAAAGACAGGATCCAGCCCTCTCGGGGTCAGACTCACCTCACTTCCCTCTTTGTGGAGACCCCAGGATGGGTGTGGGGGTCAGGGTTGAAGAAGACTTGACTCTGTTCACTACGTCTGGGCTTGGTCTCCCAGCCTAATTTCTTAGACCTTTGCCCCTACCCTCTGCTCTGAGCGGGTCTCTGACTTTTGGGGCATCTGTGTGTGGTTGGGGGGGACAGTCATCTATCTGCGGCCTTTAAAGTCCCAAACAAGTATCTCTTCCCGCAGAAACCGCAGATTCAGTCTCCATTGATATCCACCCCCCAAACGAGCTTCCCAGGTCCTCTCTTTCCGCCCCGCCCCCCAGGGGCCGCGTAGGAAAGGCGCAGACCCCGCCCCCACCACCGCCGGCCCTTGCCTCTGCCCCCCGCGCACCTGCTGAGACTCTGCAGGGGGCGTCGGGAGTTGGAGAGGGGGGATGGAAGGGGGGAACGGGAATTCCTTGGCTGGCGGGTCCCTGGTCCCCCCCTGGCCTCCTCATCTCGAGGCTGGGGCTGCAGCCGTGGCCGGAAATCGCAGCTCGCTCCGGGTCTGACCCATCTCGGGCGCGGGGCGGGAGAGGGGCTGCAGTGGGCGGACGCAGCCCGCGCGGAGCTGCGCGGGAGTGGGGGGCGCTTCGAGAAGCCGGCGGCAGTGGAGGCCGGGAGCAGGCCAGAAAAAAAAAAAGGCGCTCGTGACCCCGGAGGGGAACGGGGCTAGGAGACCAGGGGCTCCAACTGCCTTCACTGCGCACCCCCCACCCCCACCCGGGTCGCCTTCCGGAGAGGGGCGAGCACGTGCACCGGCTTTTGAGGACTCCGGGAGAAAGCAGATGGTGTCGAGGGGTGGGGGGTCTGGCGGAAAGCACCGCAGGGCTGGGGTCGGGGCACACAGCTCTGGTCTCAGCTCTTCCCCCGGCCCCAGCTTCTGATGGGCGTGGGGACGGGATGGGGGTCCTGAAAGGGGCCTGTATTCCTCACTCTCCCCCTCTGAACCTAGGGCCCAAGATTCGCTGGGGGGGAACGCGGGAGGACTGTTGCCTGGGAACAGTAAGCAAATTATCCGGAGGCCGGAATACAAATGCATCTGACCTGACTAGTCTTATTTGACCCCTGAGGGGCCTCTCCCTGGGAAGGGGGAAACGGTGAGGTGAAAGCCTCAGGTCACTCCCCCCCACCTCTTCAGGGGCAGAGTGCCCCTCAGGGACCTTTGCTAAGGTCCCTTAGCAAACAAATCTCCCTCTCCCCACCACCATTAGCTGAGAAGAGTCTCCAGACTTGCTCAGGATGCGTTTCTCCTTACCTTGAGCTGGCCAGCCAAACTTTCTCCAAGTCAGACCCAAGACTCCTGGGTCACAGTGTGACATACTGAAGTTAGACAAGGACTGAGGGGACAATGGAATAGTTAGCAAAAGGAAGTCTTGAGTTGTTTCCCCACCCCACCCCGGCCAGGTTAGACTGTTTCGCGGCGGAGCAGTACAGGTGACAAGACTTTTCAAGGCATCCCAAGAATTCAGATCAACAAATATTTATTGAACACCTGCTGCATGCTGGCCTTCCGGGGACAGGACTGACTCCCTAGGGAACCAAGGTCCTATCTTAAGCTACTGAGTCTGGAAGACAGACAGATGAAGATCTCTTCTGTCAGCTAAATTCTCAGTTGTCCTTGGGTTAAGCATTGTTTTTGATGGGACCTCGTATTCCCATTTGCCTGGGAATGGGGGGGGGGCGGTCAGTTCATCCCCCGACTCAGGCCAGAGGTGACTAGGAAGGGTCTTGGGAAGAATGCAGAGGGAAGGAGGGGTCATGATGAGTTTCCCGCTCGATGCAGGGCATCCTTCCAATCATCCTTCCAATTGTTTCTGCTGGTAGTGGGGAGGCATGTCCTGGTCTGACCCCTCGGTCAGTGACCACGCCAGGACTGTGTCACTCCAAAAAGAAAGTGTTTCGATGAATACAGCTGCTCCCAGGACTCGTGGCCTCATTTCTGGGGGGCTAGCCTCTCCCTCCTCTCCTGGCAGGCCACTCTGGAGGCCTCCCCAGCGTCCGGCGGGTGTCTCTGGCTGAGGACGAACAACAGACAGCCCAGCACAGCCTCTCGCATGTCCTGGGAGCCCAGGCGGCGAGCCAGGCGGCGCAGCAGGGGCAGGAGGTGCTGGCGGGCCAGGCGGGCCGCGGGCAGCAGCAGGCAGGACAGCAGTGTTCGCAGCAGCAGCGGGAGCAGCGGAGCGGGCATGGCTGGGCCGTGGCTGCGAAGGCAATCCAGACTCTAGGCTTGCCTTTCCACCCCCTCCTCACCTGGCAAAGACGGGGGGTGGGCAGGATCTCCCTCCCTTCAGTTTACACCCTCATGCTCCCCAGATCTTAATTTGCGGGTCGGTTTTAGTTTCCCACAGCCCTTTCTCTTGGCAAGGTAGCTGGGGAAGGGGGGTTCTCACCATAGCTAAGGAGACACGGAGCCAAAGCAACAGTAAAGCTTGCCATCCCCAGCCTCCAGGGCCTCCTGCGGTTCTCTGGACCCTCCCCTCCGCTAGTCACCCTCCTCATGCACACCCTCAGTCACCTGGCATTCCTCAACCCTTCTCCCCCATCCAGCAGGAGTTCTTCCCCAGGCGATTCTAAGTTTTTTTTTTGAGGGCCCTTGATCCGACACTCCCTACCCTCCCAGTCCCCCACCCCCACCGGTCCATCCATCCATGGCAGCAGCTCTCACCGGTCGGAACTGCTGCTCAGAATCAATCTCTGGCTGAATTTGCCTGTGGGGGCACAGCCTCCCTGGACACTACACAGCTCAGCCCCACCCAGAACAGCTCGCCTGGGAGCAGCGAAGAGACAGCTGTGTTCTGGCACCTGGTAGATGGAGGGGAGGGGGCAGCTGGGCTGGCAGAAGTGGAAGGAATTGGAATGCAGGAGTTCTTCCTCCTGGAGGCAGACCTCAGAGTGGGAACCCAGAGTGCGCTTTCTAATGGTGTGACCTTAGGCACACTGATTTTTCCGGGCTCGGGTCCCGTCCGATGGGAGTAACTGGGGAGAGTAACTGGAATGGGATGAGATCTGCTGGCCCAAACCTGAGAAGCAGTAAGGCTGCGGCCCAGACACACCAGACATGCCCAGAGTGGCTGAGAGAGGGGGCCGAGCACCCGGGCAGGCACTTAGGGGCCCTCTCCTGGGGGTGCAGGAGTGGGGTCACCATCCGTCTTAAAGCTGCGTCCAGTTGGACAGCTGGGTGGCGTTCCCACTCAGGAACAGAAGAGGGACACCCACTTCTGGACCCTCTTACCCACTTTTTTTACCCCGAAGGTTAAATGAGGTTCCATGAGATAGTGAAGTAGAGACAGTCTAGGTTTGTTTTGTTTTGTTTTTAAATACCTCTTCTCCTACTTCATAAAATAGGTCTAATTTCTGCCTTGCTAGACTCAGATGAGATAATGACCATGAAAGTGTTGTGTAAGCTTCACAGCCTTGGGAATATGCTCTTTATCGTCATCCCACCACCAGCCTCCAGTAGCATCAATCACCATCTCCAGAACCGTCAAAGACCTTGAAGAAAGAAAACTTAAACATCAAAAAGGTCTATTCCACTTCTACCTGGAGGAAGCAGGGGAGAGGAGCTAGAGTATAGATTTATAGGGGTCGTCTTCCTCTCCTTCTAGCTGTTTCCTGAGGAGATGGGACGGCCATATGTCATCCCTGGGCTGTGGGTGGAACGTGTATTGAGTACATCTGTTTGCGAAGCCTGTGAGTTCATCATCTCACTTAGTTCTCACCACACCTGCAGGGGAGCGATTATTATAACCACTGTTATAATGGTTATAATAATAATAAGAAGAAACTGAGGTTCAGAGTGATTAAGCAACTTACCTGGAATCACACAGATAAATGGCCTGACTTCCCCCCAAACCTGCCCCTCCTTCAGGCTCTCCTCTTTCTGTAATTGGCAACTACGTCTTTCTAGTTACTCTGGCCAAAATCTTGGAAGTTATCCTTGACTTCTCTCTTTCTATCACAGTGCACTACCCACATTGGTAAAGCCTGGTGGTTCTACTTGTAAAATATTCAGAATCTCACCACTTCTCACCATGACTACCTTTGTCTGAGTATTCTTCTGAATTATTGTAGTAGCTTCCTAACTGGTGTTTCCGTTTCTCTTTTCCACACAGTGACCAGAATGATCTTTATAAAATACGAATCGGATCCTGTCCTTTTTCTGCTCAAACTGTCCAATAGCTCCCGTCTCCCTCAGAGTTAAAGCCAAAGGCTTTAATTGTGACCTACAAGGCCCTGGGTGGTTTGGCCTCGCCTGACTTCCTGATTCAACTTCTAGTCCTTGCCCCTCTCTCTCTGCCCCAGCACACTGGCCTCCTTTCTGCTCCTTAACTGTGCCAGCCATGTTTCTGCCTCAGGGCATTTGCACCTACTATTGCTGCTACCTATAGGGCTCTTTCTCCAGGTATCCACATGGCTCCATCTCTCACCTCCTTCAAGTCTTTGGCCACATGTTACCCATCCATCCTATTTAAAAGTACACTCCCTCCACCCCATCTCCTGCTGCTTCCTTTCCATCCCCTCCTCTGCTCTGTTTGTCTCCACAACAAAACATTGTCGACATGCTATATATTTTACTTCCTTATCTTGTTGATTATCTGCCTCCCACTCTAGAATGTAAACTCCATGAGAATGGGGACTTGTGTCTGTTTTGTCTGCTGTGTCCCCAGTGCTTGGCAATAAACATTTGTTATAAGAATAAACAAATAAATAAACGTTCTGTGTTGGGATCCAAACCCAGGCCTGCTTGTCCCAGGGCCTGTGCTACTGAGACCCAGAGCTCCATGGATCCAAACACATTCTTCTAGGATGTGTGTGAGACCCCCATGGGCCACAAACAGCTGGAGAGATCCGCTTGGACAGGAAGAACTGACCACACGGAGCCTAGGAGAGGGCAAGTCAGGCTTCAATGGTTCCTTCTGGGAACCTCCTAAGTCTGTCATCTCGAAGGAACCCTGGAGGCCCCACCACATGCTGGCCCACATCTGTGGTGGCCGTGGTCTTGGGTAAACCACACCCCACCCCTCCTGGACTCAGTTTCCACAGCTATGGGAATTTCCAGCTGTGAGATTCTTGGACCCTGGGCCTGGGGCCAGACTCCTGCCCTTCCCTGCTCCCTGGAAACAGAGTGTCCAGGGGCCTGGGACTGTGAGGCGGGTAAAGGAAACAGGATAACAATGGTAACAATGGGGGATCCCAGAGGGGGCTGGGAAGGGAGTGGGGAAGGGGCACGGCTGGGACCAGGGCTGGATGGAGTCTGAGTTTACTCTCTGCCGCTCACACCCTCTGGGGACTAACTCTTCTCTCCACCTCCTTCCCACCCCATCACCACCCCACCCGCCACCCCACCCCAGACATTTTCTCCAAGGCAGGAAGCCAAGGACTCTGCTAAGATTTCCTCAGCCTTTCCTGGAAAAATAATCATCCTCTCTGGCAACAAAGCTGCCATGGAGCAATTCCTTCTAGTTTCTAATTTAGCTTTGTGTCATGGATCCCGCCTGCACTGCCCTGACCTCTACCCTTTGCCCTCTCCTGGCCAGGGAGGGACCAGGCAACTTTGAGGAAATTGGCCAAAACTCCTGTTCCTCAAAGTTAATTAAAAAAAAATTGTCTGGGTGCCAACTTGTGAAGTTGAGGCGTGTGGGCTGGGCAGTAAGTGACCCCTGGAGTCCTCCTCCCTGGTCCTCTCCCCAGATCCTCAGAGCCCTCCAGAAGTGTCCTGGGGGCCCCCACCACCCCCATACATAGGCATCGGTTAATTGGACCGTTCGTGTCAACAACAAGCGTTGAATGCTCACTGTGGGCCAGGCCTGTGCAAGGCGCCGAGGACACAGTGGTGAGCAGGACAGACACCCCAAGAGTCAGAGGGTGACAGACAAGCAGTTGGGTAAACCGATGCTGGGGTGGCCAGAGTTGCAATAGAGCTAATGGGTTCTCTCGAGACCTGGGAGTAGTGGGCCTCCTGCTCCTCGCACCCCTTTCTGCTTGTCCCCATCCAGGGGTCCAAAGCACTCTACAACATGGCCACCGACCTGCCCGGGGAGGGGAAGGGTGCTTCTGCACTGGTCACTCGGATCTGGATTCACTGCGGGCTCTGGGACCCTCTCTCAGGGCCTCTCTGGATGCCTGAGTAGACCATACGCTGCACAACTGGGGGTAGGGATCATCTTCTTCCCTGAAATGGGAGTTCCCATGACACCTACCTCTGACAGGATCAGGAGGTGGGAGAAGACTAGGTCCAGAGCTCGGCTCCTAGAACGTGTCCAATAAACAAGTTTGTTTCCGTCCACCTTTTTGGGTTTTCCCTCCCAGTATACCCTGTATCTGAAGCCCGCCCAGTTGGCTGCTCCTTGAAGACCCACTACGAGGCACCTGGTGCTCATGAGCAGCCTCTGTGAGTGGATGCTGGGGCTCAGTTAATACCTGAAGAATTGACGGAGGCCTGGGTTCCTGCAAGGCCCTGGCCCCTGGCTCTGTCATGTTTTACTGTCCTGTTGTCCCCTCTAGGGGATCAGTGCTGGCCTGGAGCCCTTCCCCATGTGGGAGGTTGAGGGCAGTGCTGACCCCCATACAAGGAGTTCTGAAAAGAGGCAGGAAGGCCTTGTCAAGGGTGGGGAGTGCTGAGGTGAGCAGGGGCCGAGGAGCAGGTGTGGAGGCCAGCCAGGTCTAGGAAGTGTCGGCAGGCAGTGAAGGGCAGAGTACTAGCCAGGAATTGGGCGTTTAGCCCTGTCACCTACCACAGCACCTCTCTGCCTGCCACAGTAGTCCTGGAACCATCTATCCTATGAGGATCTGAGGCTGAGTGTGGTGATAGCTGAGAGAACACTTTGTGAACTGCAGCTCCTCCCAGGTAAGAGATGATGTACTCGTGAGGGACGGTCCCTTACCCTTGACCTCCATCCCCGTGCCCACCAGTTCCAGGCAATGGTAGACCCACGGACAGGCCATTGGGCAGTAGCACACATGCTAGACATGCTCGTAAGACACAAAGAAAATGGGTCAGGGAGTTGGATGTGGCCTGGAAGAGTATCTAGAGCTGACAGGTGGGGCCCTACCCTATCTACAAGAACAGTTGCTCTGGCTGGGGAGCAGGAGGCCCAGAGAAGGGCCTGTACAGAATGCAGCCCATTGTCCTCACTGAAACAACTGTCACTCTCCCCAGACTCAGCTGACAGGACCCGAGGTGGGAGGTGAGAGGTGGGAGCCCTACCCGCTCTGGCAAGGCCTCACAGGAACAGTCAGCTGCTGGGGCAGGACAGCTGCTCCCTGGACAGCGGGAGGGAGGGGAGTGCACCAA